TATATATATATACATATATATATATATATATATATATATATATATATATAATATATATATATATATATATATATATATACATATATACATATATATATATATATATATATATATATATATATATATATATATATATATATATATGCGTGTGTGTCTGTGGGTATATATATATATATATATATATATATATATATATATTATATATATATATAAATATATACGTATTTATATTATACATATCTATATATATGTACACATATTTCACATATATATATGTGTGTGTGTATATATATATATATATATATATACATATATATATCCCAATGCCGCCCGGGAAAATGAACAAAAAATGGGGAAAATGCTGTGCCCACTTTCTATGTTTTTCGTGAAATGTCTGCCGATAGATGGCTCTGCTAGCGCCTGATTTGAAATGGCGGGAAAAACGTATTTTTCACTAGTGCTATGAAAATCGATGGTTTTATTTATATCATAAACTTTATATTTTTTATAATGTTTTTTAACTTAAGTAACAGCAAAATAAGATAACGTAAAATATTTCGTAAATCAAAGAAACGGGTAAACGGCCGACACGGGCGGTGCTCATAACTGGCTCATTGGTGATTTAGTACAAGTGTTGCCATCTATGCGTAAAAACAATCAAGCAAGTACTCACGGTGGGCATAGCACGTACGTACACGTCATACCCGGCACCAATGGGATATATATATATATATACATATATATATATATATATATATATATATATATACGTATATCTATATGTATATTGGGTGTGTGGTGTGGTGTAATGTGTGTTTGTTGTTGTCTTTGTATTGCTATGTATCATATATCATCCTATCTCTATATCTCTATACTATACAATATAATCTACATCATATATATCTCCCTCTGTCTCTACGTCTATATATATACTCCTCTAATCTCTATCTCTCATCATATATATATCTCTATATTATGTCTCTACATCTATATTCGGTATCATCTATCTCTACTCTCTCTACTCTGATTCTCTCTATATCTACGATGCATAGAGGCGTGTGGGTGTCTTGTATGTAGGTCAGGTATATACTCACATAAAGTATGTATTACTTGAGGTGTCTCTGTATACTCATGTGTGTGTGGGGGGGTGGGTAGGATGGCGATTATACATCCCTATATAGATGCTATGTTAATTTACATACCAGAGATATATAAATCTAAGACATATATTTCGAGTAGATGCATATAAATGGCTAAATATATACATCACACACACACACACACACCCCCACACACCACACCACTATATCTATATATGAGAATAATATAGTATATATAGTCATATATATGAATATATATAATATACTATATATCTATATAGAGCTCTATATTATATATATAATATAGATTTATGTATATATAGATACTTAGCTATTATATATAGATATAGATATTATCTATAGCGATAGAAAGATAGCTATATACTATGTGTGTGTGTGTGTGTCTGTAGATGTTGTATAATAGTATATATATAGATATACTAGATATATTATATATCTATACTCATATTCTCTAATATCTTAGATATATATATATCTCTAGTTCACATGTATGTGAAATATGTGTATCATCTATATATATATCTCATCTCGATCTATATATATCTCTATCTTACTATATATCTATCTATCTATATTATATGTATGTATATATATACTTCATATATGCATCTGTAGAATAGCTTCATATATATATATTACCATATATATATATATATATATATATATATATATATATATATATATACCTATCCATACACACCACACACCACGACACACACACACACACACACCCACACACATATACTACCCACACACATATATACTTATATTTATATATATATATGTATATAATTCTGTATATATTACCCCACACTATAGAACACATACATATAAATACTAAATATCTATATCTGTCTCTATAGCTCTCATATATATATATATATATATATCATATATTAGAGATATATATATATATATATCTATTATACATATATATATATTTATTTATGTATATGTCTGTGTCATCTGTGTGTATATATCCTACATATAGATATATACTATATATATAAAATATACCTATATATGTGTGTGTGTATATATATCTGTGTGTGTTGGTGTAGCTGTGTGTGTGTGGTGTGTGTGTGTGTGTGTGTGTGTGTGTGTGTGTGTGTGTGTGTGTATGTGTGTCATTTCATATGTATATATATATACTATATCTATTCATATATTATCTATATATTATATATAATATCTATATATATACTATATATATGTAATATATCTACCAATGCATGTATGGTATATATGTAGACATTATCATATATATATATAATATATATACATATCTACTATCTATATATAATACTCTATATATACACATATATTAGATATCGAGTCTATGTATGTGTATGTGTGTGTGTGTGTATATATATATCTTA